ACCTAGTAGCGATGGCCTTCAACCTAAGAGCGATGGCCTCCAACCTACTTGCAAGGCCACCAACCTGATGGCGATGGCCTCCAACCTACTAGCGATGGCCTCCAACCTACTTGCAAGGCCACCAACCTGATGGCGATGGCCTCCAACCTAGTAGCGATGGCCTTCAACCTAAGAGCGGTGGCCTCCAACCTACTAGCGATGGCCTTCAACCTGAGAGCGATGGCCTCCAACCTGCTTGCGATGGCCTTCAACCTGAGAGCGATGGCCTCCAACCTGCTTGCGATGGCCTTCAACCTAAGAGCGATGGCCTCCAACCTGCTTGCGATGGCCTTCAACCTAAGAGCGATGGCCTCCAACCTAATAGCGACGGCCTGGCCTCCAACCTACTAGCGATGGCCTCCAACCTCATAGTGATGACCTCACCTCAGGTCACTAAGGAGAGAAAGATAAACACGGTGTGATGATGAGGTGGTCCTTTAGAACAAAAACCTCACCGAAAAAAGCCTCAAAAGCAACTAAGTTTCTTTGGTTCCTGTAAAATTTGGATGATCTTCTCACGTGTCTTGCTGCATTTGCCTTTCTGCGCGATCTCCAAAATGCTGCGACCTTTTGATGTTCTCTGGTCTCGATCTGCACCACACCGAAGAAGCAACACCAGCAACTCTATGTTGCCCTCCTTCACTGCCATGTGCAAGGGGTAGAGCACTTCTTTCTCGAAAAGGAAGGAAGGCCTTGGGAAGAAATGGCGTGCCAGCAATGGCTCATTCACATCTGTGAACTTGTGGCTCTTGAAAGACTTCAGCATCCTGGCATGGAACAAATGCTTCCTGTGACGGCGAAACACACTTCCTTCCGTCGGGACCGGATCGTCATCGACGTCCACCTCGCTGCACTCGGCCTGGCACTTCCTGGCGCGTTCGGCGCGCGTGTCGCTGGCCGCAGTCGCGGTGGTCGAGCTCGTGCAGCTTGAAGCCACCAGCTCTTCGACCAGGCCTGGTAAGGGTGGCGCCTGCACTGGAGGTGGCAGGGGCTGATCGGGAATCGTGGCAAACCAGGCCATGCAGAGCCAACTGGTGTGGCTCAGCACTTCTGAGGAGCTTAAAATCTTGAGCCAAAGAAACATGCAGCTGGCGCGGGAGGCTCAACCCGCGCTGTGCAAAAACTCTCAAGAGACCTGAAACCTGCCGCGACTCCCGACAGAACTCAATGGCCATCACTGGAGGTCACTTTTCTCTGAGACTCCAGCCGGTTCTGATCCAGCCTGTCTTGTCACTGTGACACACAAGCAGTAAAGGTTTTGCACAGCTTCCTGATTCCCTTTTTCATCTGAAATCTCTCTTTAAATGAAAAACCACTGATGAAATTCCAGACTATCTACATTTGTCAACTTGCCTCGCATCAGCTGATGAATAGCACGTACACATGAACCAAATGAACCCACACCACACTTCAACAACCGCAATACGCCAATAAACCCCAACAAGTTGCACCGCCTTCGAAGAAGCAGGTAGAGCTTCTGTAAATACCTCGGCAAGGTATATAATGCCGATGTTCGGCAAGACTGCCTGGGGAACGCTCGCATCGTCTTTTGTGCTTTCCGACCTTGCGAAGTGCCCGGCAAATATTTTCTTCAGCAAATTCATCTGCTTCGGCAGCCGAACCACCTTACAACCCAAAAAATCTACAGGTCTGAAGAAAATGGAAAGCAATAGAAAAGGAAGCACAGAAGAAAGGAAAGAAAGGGCATCAAACATGGTTAAAACTGGAGAGCTCGAAGTTATGCGAGCGTGGTTTTTACGCGTTTTTGTTGTGTTTTTCTTAGATTTTGTCATGTTTTGAAAGAGTTTCCACGGTTGCGGTCTAGATATGCTCTTGTGCTCCTGTTTCCCAAACAAAGCCAATTTTCCTTTTTTTAAGCCACCTCTGGATCCGACTCTACCCTTCCTTGCCCATAAGCATTCTCATTGTTTCAAAGGAAGCACTTTTTGGGTTTCTCCCTCCACATTCTTTATGAAATGGGCTTCTCCCTCGACGTTCTTTATGAAATGGAGAGAAGATCATTTATCTTGAAACACAATGTGCCCACCAGGTCCAACAAAAGTTGAGAAACTTGCTTAGTAGTACTGGACCTGGATGACTGATTGGAATTGGGCTTTGCATGGCCTTCTTGACGCCCATACCCATAATAAGCCTCATCGTCATTCTCAGGGTCATAGGGAACCATTCTGCGAGCATTGGGAGTTCTTCGATTGGACCAATCCTGCTCATCTCCACTGCTCTCACCCAATGGCTCTTCAGGTCTATGCTCTATATCCCCCCATCTACGACGAAATCTATATCCCCCCGTCTACGACGAGAAGATCATTGTCTTGAAACACAATTATCTTTGGTCCAATGCCAGCTGTTTGATGCATCCAATGCGTCATCTCATCTCATCTCGTCTCATTTCATCCACATTGGAAGTTCTACTTTCCTATGCTCTCTGGCCATATGCCCATCTCTCTCTCTCTCTGTCTTTCACTGGATATCTTAAGCCATCAAATCAAGACACTATTGAGACCATACAGTATAGGTGTCCACCCTCACCACATAGAGCCTGAATCCCCGATTCCTTCTCCATGTTCTGATATGCAATGATCCAATTGGCATGGCTCTGATCTGTCAGATCTCTCATCAAGCTTTTGCAAAAATACTAGTTGCTAGCTTTCATGATTCCGACACAGAAGTCCATCAACCATCTATCTGCAAGTCCACGACATCACATCATACATCATCAGATCATCACCTCTATGAGGGGGATCTTGTCTCCAAGACCTCCAATCTCAATGAATCCTCAATCTCCAGCAACTGGGCTTGCCGGGCTTCTCCCGGGGGGGGGGGGCGAAAACAACAAGAATTGCTCGTGGAATGGGGCAACCATCGTTTTTTTGGCGCCACCCCCCGGGAGAAGCCCGGGCCCAGGCCCAGTCCCAGTTGCTGGAGATTGAGGACTCATTGAGATTGGAGGTCTTGGAGACCAGATTCCCCTCATAGAGGAGACGACCTGATTCTGCGTGGGAATCCTGAGAGCTAGTATTTTTGCAAAAGCTTGATGAGAGATCTGACAGATTACAAGTTGACATTTTTGCTAGACACGTTCTTCAAAACAACCAACAGAAAAAAAAGCAGAAAACCAAAAACGCAGAAAAGCCACACCCGTATAACTTCGTTTTCTGGAAAAATGCAAGTACTTGACATTCTATTTCTTTCTTCCATCTGACACTTCCTTTCTTCCTGTTTAGGGCCTAAGTGCCACCAGGAACAAGAGCTGTCTGTTTTCAGCCCAGACGGCCTCGGAACGAGGACGCTACTAGGGGCTCCTGGCATCGCTACTAGGAACAAGGACGCTTTGGGTTCTTTTTTGGCGAAGGCACTTTCTTGTGCCCAAAATTGGGACTGGGCGGGTTCTTTGGGCCTGGCCATTGATCTCGCCAAAGTGGCCGCGTCGATCGGCGCTATCACGAGTAGACTCGAGACTGAACCGAAAGAGAGGACAGGTTACTGAACAGTTGTTAGGAGAGTGCCCCACAGATACCATCCCACCTACCGAACACCTGTGCACCACTCCCAGAACAACACCGCAAAGTAACATTTGCTTGTTCAGCAACCCACAACTCGAAAAGCCACGAGCAGAGCTCAGATTTTCCGAGAACCACTGGCATGGGGGCGTGGCGCCCGGTTAGATCCATGAACAGAAAAGTGAACCAGGTGGGATGAACCAACCATGCAACTGCAACCAGGGTCACCTTCTTCGCGAAGTGCTCATTCGCGAGCGGGTGACAAACCACCACAAGAGGGATTTCACATCAAAACCTCCCAGGCCCCAATTCCGCCGCGCATTTTTCCAAGGATATGATCCTACCGTTGAGCGACAGTCTTGAGCGCCGTCGGCCACGCGACAGGATGTGTGAGCCATCCTGCCTCCCTTCCAATTAGGATATTACGAGAGGATCAGCCGGATTGGCGTCAGTAGCCACTCGATCGACGAGCACTCGAACTTGTCACTGAGGAAGCATGGTCCGACCGGACAAAAGACTCACGGCCAACTCGGCGAGCCGCCTCTACAAAAGCGTGTGGTGTCATCGCTGAGCAGTCCATGGTGTCAGACCTACGCTGATCAAGTGTCCTACGAGGAGGTGCCAAAGATCCTCCAGCCCAGGCGTACTGTACAGGCAGCTGTCCCGGATCCGTCATCGATGGTGTTGCGCTGCTCACAGGCGCCACAGTCGCGGCTGGAGTCAGCTGAGGTGCCTGTCCCACAGGGCGAACAGCTGGCCCATCGCAGATCGGCGGCATCACACTGGCCAAAACTTCGCCCAACGGGTCATGGCCGGCCCTCACGATGACCTTGTCCTTCTTGAGCAATGGACTCTCACTGACCAGGTGGACGTTGGCCGGATTGGACTCCACTGCTATCGCACAAATTGTTGGGCCCGTTTCATCCTCGGTCGTAGCCTCGACCCTGAGCAGTCCAGTGAGCGTGGGTCGGAGGGCTTGGTCAGGACATTAAACCCGGGCGGCATGATCACGTGCCCATCTGGCATTTCGAATCAACGTGGGACCAGAGATCCTGCTGAACACGAGCCATGTGGGTGGCACGATCATGGAGCTGGCTGCCAGGTCCAGGCAGTCGCCACAGGACATGAAGCACCGAAAGCATCAGGGGAGGCGGTCGCCGCAAACCTGATCTCGAAATGGCACAAGGGGTAGTCCAAGGCGATTACCACACCACCCTCAGAGCATCATAAACTCGTCCGCCAACTTCGAATGAAATTGCAATGACCCTCCATCCATGAAGCACTGTGGTGACGATGGATGGGATGAACACCGTCTCTGCCAAGATCTGGTGGATCGCGTCTGCGACATGCCACAACTGAAAAGACATATCCTTGTCGGAGCGATAGGCCCTCAGTTCGAGATGCACGAGAAGGTGGCCTTCAAGTTTGACCTTCACATCAACCAGGGCGAGCTGTTCTCGGTCATTGGGGGCCACATGAACGGCTGAAAAGCGGCATGGCTCAAGACCTCACCCGATAGGGAGTCCCAGCGTGTGCAGGGAACATTCGAGTCCCTTGTGGCGGATCCGCACATCACGACCTTCGTGCTATCCAGAGTCCTCACCATGAAGAAGGTAAAGTGGTAGCCACTGGATGGCGACCTGACCAAGGCTCTATCCGACTTGATGATGACGCACGCGAGGGCGTTGGTCAAGATCTCATCGAGGAGCCAACTCTGGTATGGACTCTGGACTCGACGATCGCCTTTGTCCACCGATCGTTCACCCTCACCTGAACCAATCTGGGAGAGGTAGTCTGGCAACTGCGTGTTCAGCGGATTGTGCGTCAGATTGCAAACTGCACGACGACCTCGGCGAGCAGCTTGCTCTTGTTGACTTCTCAGTCGTCTGGAGACAGGTGTTTCATTGGATCGATCCACAAAGCTTTGGGCTGCCTGTGTCACAGGTGCTGCCTGTGGTGCTGAAGGGGCAGGTGGAGCTGAGTGCTGACCAGTCCATGCCGGTGGTGACGGTGGCCAGAAATCTGCAGGAATAGCGCTCGCTGAACTCTCTTCAGGCACCGAAGGCATAGAGGGATCCGCAGCAGAGCCATGAGGAGCTTCCTCCTCAACCTTTGTCCACGAGCTGACTGATGAAGTCTCATCAGTGCGAGTGCAGCCGGTGGAGGCGCTTTGCGAAGTGCAGCAGGTGGCACCTTTGGAGGAAGCTTGCCAACGTTCGGATGCTGCTGAGAAGCCATGATCAATCGCCAATCGCTCCCAGGCCCTAACTGAAAAGCTTCAAGGGGGGGTTCTTTGGACCTGGCGGTTGATCTTGAGCCAAAATGGCCGCTTGGATCGACGCTATCACGAGTAGACTCGAGACTGAACTGAAAGAGAAGAAAGGTTACTGAACAGTTGTTAGGAGAGTGCCCCACAGGTACCATCCTACCTACCGAACACCTGTGCACGCCACTCTCCCTCCAATGAAGAGGACAATGCCCTCTAGGAAGACGATTTGACACAGTTTCCGGTTGTTTGGGGGCCCACCAAGGTCTATTGGACCGGCAAAAAAAAGAACGCCACACACACCCGCACACACCCACAAACACGGACACACGAACAGCCAGGTGAGGGCACTTTCCAGTGTCTCTTTTGCCCTTTGAACCTTAGAGAGGCATGGGATGCACGGCCGTGGCTAGGTCTCCGGGAAAAAAGACATGTGAAGGTGATTCAGGTGTTGTTCTGCTGGGAGTGGAGGATTGTTCTCCTGTCAAAGAGAGCTTAACACACGTAAGAGTAAGTCGCCGGCTTCACTGCCAGTCGTGTCCAATTTGCATTCGAAAACGCCCATAGCGTGCAAGTCACCACGAAGTCGAAGGGAGGCTCTTCGGACTCATTCGGTTCATCCGGTGCTCGGTGTGTAGGCATATCGTTGTGTATCATATGGGTGTGCCTCATATTTCGGGGTCTCCCTATTCAAACACACACAAACTAGAGAAAAGAGTACATACTGAATGCACCACCTCCCATGAAGGCCTGAGTGAACAATTCACCCAATTACTAAACCAGATGTTCGGTGCCGCCCAAAGTTACAACATGGTGCACACACAGAGTTCATCTTTCGGCACCTTCCTAAGTACTACCGTTGTGGGAAACACACCGATGCCGCCAATTTGGAATTGACTGCAAAGGCGGCCACAGACAACTGTTTTCGGCCAGCGAAAGAAAGAAAGCACCGGAGCCCCGTTCGTAGCGTCCTAGTAGCGCCCTGTGTATGGCCCTCCACTCGGGCCCGCGCCAGCCATGTCGATGTTGTGAGGACTTTAAGCCTTGGAGGCTGGGCACTGGTGGGCTCGAGCCAGCGATGAGAGGGTTTTTGCTTGCATGTGGGTCAATGTATGTCTTGAAATAGGGAGACCTGCTTGTCCTACAAGACTATGCTGTTGCGATGAAGTTCTTGTCGGCAAACAGTCATACCTCCCACCTGGGGTGAGGTCCATAAAGCGTAGAGTTAGTTGCAAGAAATCAATTGCGTATGTGTCATGCACTGCATGGCAAAAGAGGTAATCACTTCTTCACCAAATCGAAGGAAGTCACCGATTTCCAGAGCAGCTCGAGGCTACAAGTACTTCTCCAGTAAAAGGTAACAAACAAAAGAAAACATGATCAGAAAAGAAATAACACAAAAGCAACATTGTTTGTGTCTTTCACTCCAAAGGCAAGTGAGACACTGGAAACTTCAATGACTCCGTCAGTCGTTTCTCTCAAAACGTCCCTGGGTCAGCCCAGCACAACACCGACAACAACAACCTCGGTGGATCGTGCGGTCCAAGCGCTATCTTCGGTCGCCTTCAACTTCGGCAAAATAGCTAGTTGATGCTATACATAGTTAAGTTTCCTGAAAATATCTAGAAACCAAATGAATAGTGCGAGCGCTTCTTCAAGGAAGCTTCCTTAGGGTGGCGGGGGGAGCCTCCTTGAAGAAGCGTGAGCTATCCTGCATCAAGTCAAGCAGCTAGTAGCTTAAGTAAGGTACTAGCTACCTCAAATCCTTACTTATGTAAGTAGGGAGGGGGGCCGCAGGCAACAAACAGGTCTTTCACGTGGAGTTTTCTATGTCAGTCAGAAATTCCAAACATCCGCGACGAAGGGGATCATACCCGTCCATGGAAAACGTCGGATGACTGATCATAAACGTCGTAAGAAGCTTTCAAGCGGAAGGTATGCAATTCTTGTCCGCACTGCTACAAGCTTAAGAGTGCTCAAAGGACATATATGCTGTAGTTTCTGACATGTTTGTGTCCTTGTTTCTTAGATGATGGCCATGGTCACAAGGGTCAAGTGTTGCATGAAACCCGAGACATGTAGTGAGACATCAGGCATGTGCGAACGGGTTTTCCGCGCAGGAAGACCGCAGGAGCCCTTGTTGGACCGCAAGACCCATGGAACCTGCTGCATGGATGCTTTTGGACCAACCGTTGGAATCTACCCTCCCTAAAAATATCAATCGCTAGTATTGGAGGCCATCCCTAGTAGGTTGCCATTGCTATCATGGAAGCGGACCCTGCTTGGCATCCGGAAAATGGTCATCCAAGGGCCATCAAGGGCCCTGCCATTCACTTCCGTGATTGTTTCAGAGAGGATCTACACTCTCTTCGTTTCCGGGCTCCAAATCACCAAAGCATCGCTACACCCAGCAGGATGAAGCGAACCTTTGGACGGATCCATCTACAAACGAATCGACCGTTTTCCACCGACGCTTCTCCACGCAGGAGCACAGAATTCTCGCACCAAGATGCAACAGGGACAACATCTACAGCTGCCATGGGAGGAGTTCTCGACGGCCTGGCGAGAAACGTGGCCTTGGCCGTGCCACGCAAGCAGCGACCGCGTGGTCGGCGCCTTCCGAAAAGCACTTCTTTGCGGCACGAAGAAAAACAGCTCCATGCTGATCTTTGCTGGTTGAAAGCAGAACACCTTTGCATAGTGGCCCAAAGTCATCTCTCCATGGTCGGATATGAGACCGATCACACTTCAATCCGGTGGCCCGCAGCCTCTCTCTACGTTCTCGATGCCTTGCAATCCCTTTACGGAACAAGGACGCTACTAGAAGCAAAGGGCATCGCTGCTAGGAGCAAGGACGCTACTAGGGGCTCCTGGCCTTATTACTTTACTAGGAACGACGCCACTACTGCCCAATACTCAATACTCGCCTTTGAAGGGTCAACCTTCCGTTTTCGTTGCGTTTTATGCTGCGCACCTGGTGGACGGTGATCAACGGCCTCAGAACGGCTGAGGAAGGGATTTGATGAGATATCATGAGATCATGGAAATTCAGCAAATATACGGCCAACAGTCTGGTTCTACGGCAATATCAGAAGATCCAATTCCACCAGGCTGTTGAATTCCATGTATGACTATCTCAGATATCAACAGATCCAATTCACATCGCCAACACTCCGGTTATACGGCTTCCCGTGTGAATATCTTCAACGTGGGGGAGACACACAAGTAAGACACATTCAAGACACCAATTCCAACAGCTGTTTCGCCAGGGCTCATCTTGATGTACGACATGGTGAAGACAAACATGAGGCCTGCCATGTCGTTCAACACCCCCAACTGAAATCAGTTCTCGTGATCCAGTTATCACAATGTTGGTCACCAATGATTCCCAAAGAACATGGTGTAGTAGTCATGATAACGGATCATCTGCTGGACGCTGGATGTGGAGTTCAGTCTGGACATGGCACTACGGCACACAGCACCTGGAGGCGAAGCAAGACGGAGAGCCTGACCATGGGAAATCGGAGAAGATGTCACTCATGCCGTATGTCGTCTCCCTTGTATCTTTCTTCGCGTATTCTTAAGATAGAATATTGCACAACAAAAAATAAGGAAACACGTCATACCTTTGGATTGTTTCATCGTCCATGTACCATACTCAGGATGTTTGCACCCACCAGGCTCCTTTGAGGGTTTAAGCGCGAAGGAGAATGACCAACCGACACGAGACGTCTTCTGACTCCCGAGGTTGAGTCGGTTGAGCTTTTTCCACCTACGTTGGGCAGGTGATTTACAGGTGATTCACACTGAACTCCTGATTAGCTCTTTGGACGCTACGAACGGGGCGCTCCTGGCCTTACTACTAGGAGCAAGGGCATCGCTACTAGTAACAAAGGGCATTACTACTAGGAGCATTCTTGCTACTAGTAGCTTCTTGTTCCTAGTAGTAAGGCCAGGAGCCCCTAGTAGCGTCCTTGCTCCTAGTAGCGATGCCCTTTGCTACTAGTAGGGTCCTCTTGCTACGTCTTTTTTCGATTCCTCGGTCCTTTGAAAGCTCATAGTTTCGATTCCCGGAAGACTGCATAGCAAAAAGGGACGTCAGGAGATTTGCAGATAGCTTTGAGCTTTCGTATGATGAAGGCCATATTTTTGGCAAACATAGTTCCCATCATACTCCTGCAGGACGACAAATGGGATGAAGGCTTCAACTCGCAAGCAAAACCTTCTGAAAGGAATCTGTGCTGCAAAATGGAACTTTCAACCCGAAAGACACTTACAAGATGAGATATTTTTGTTAAGTTTCCCTAAAAATATAGGAACCAACTCGCTTCCAGGTTGGAGGCCATGGCTAGTATGTTGGAAGCCATCGCTCTTATGTTGGAGGCCATCGCTAGTAGGGTGGAGGCCATCGCTATTAGTTTCCCTAAAGATCTAGGAACCAAATCATTAGTGCGTGAGCTACGTGATCTATCCTGCGTCCTAGCTAAACGCGAACTTCTCCTAGTAGCTTACTTTTAGGTGCCTACTTAATAAGTAAGGAGGCAGGGCCGAGCAGGCTTAACATAAAGAACAATTTGATGTGCTGGGAACATCGGAGGTCTCCAACCTAATAGCAAACTATATTACACCTTTCTTCCTTTTTCTTTTTCGATCTAATAGCGATGGCTTCCAACCTGAGAGATGGCCTCCAACCTACCAACCTACGAGCGATCGCCTCCAACCTAATAGCAATGGACCTCACAAAAAAAGGAACTTGCTTTCTTCCTGAGAAGACTGAAAGGATGTACTTAGCCAAGAAACAATGAGAAACTGCCGCCAACATTGACAGAATGAGTCTTGGAACATGTCACTTGACTAGCCTTTATCCTGACGCCCGAGCCGGAGATCTCTGGAAAACAAAGGTTAACTTGCTTGGTAAAACTATATAAGCAAGGACGCTACGAACGGGGCATCGCTACTAGGAACCCTAGTCAGTTCGGTTGGACAGGTGATCCACTGTCCCAAGGTACAAGTAGCGGCGATGTGCCCCCCCCACTCCCGCGGAAGAGGGAACACGCCTATGCCGGCGTGGGATGCTCCCGGTGAGCGAGCAAAGCGCCAGCAAAGCCAGTCAGTCGAAGGAGGTGGACGTTGACTGGTGGAGTTTAATGTTCCTATCTGTTCCTGGTGCCCTGCATCTTGAAGAACGCCATAGGGTGGGAAATGCTTTTAATTTTTGTAGAGGGGGAGCGGTTCCCCCAACTTGTTGTAGGATATGCCAGGATCTATGGATTACATTGAGGGTCTTCGTAAATCACATACAGGACTACCTTCTGTGGTGTAAGCAAAGCGTTTCCTACGTCTTTTTTTTGTGGAGACCTTTCCTATCCACTCGAAGCAAGTGTCCAACCTCGACACAAAGATCATTTGGAGTTCTTTTTCTTTTCGGATCCTCATCTTGTGCAGTCGGCCTTCCACATCTCTTTTTGAGTTGCACCGTGATCTATGGCACAGAAGCAAATCGTCTATGATGATCTGAGACAAGCCAAAGAGAGCTTCTCAAGGGTGTCCAGCCCTACGACAGTGAGGATTCATGCTGTGTGCATACCATCAAGACCTGCTCGATGGCATGAAGCTGCATCACTAAACGAAGATGACTCACCACGGTATACAAGTGACAAGGGCCGCTCTCACATACTGTATGTGGGGAACATTCAACTTGAAGAATGAAGCCTGAGCATTGTTGCCAAGCAAGCACTGACTGATCTGCGCAGACGCGAGTGATCCTACTCTCTATGGAAGATGTGCCAATGATTGCTAAGTACAAGAAATCGCGCCAACCGGCACGACATGCTCAGATCAGCTCAGCCTTTTGCTGATTCTTTTCTTTGAGAGCCTCAGCTCCAGGATGAAAGCTCTTGGCACAGGTCCGGGAATGCGATGGCCTCCAACCTACCAACCTAAGAGCGATGGCCTCCAACCTAAGAGCGATGGCCTCCAACCTAGTAGCGATGGCCTCCAAGTTGTAATCAAGCTATGGCAGCTATGGGCCACGAGTCAGCCTTCCAGGTCAAGAAGACATCGTACGGAGGGCTTTGGCTGGTTTTACACCGGTGGAAGTGTGTTCCTAGGAGTCCCTTCCACAGAGATCTCACGGACGGTCGTGACCCCACAATTTGCAGCTAATGTAGACTCTTGATTACATTTCAATCCCTCGCATCAAAGGTTTTACACTCCCAATGAAGGGCTCTATAAATGAAGATTCAACAGTATACTAATTACATTCTCGGCTGAATATTCCTTTTCAACTTCTACTTGGCCTAGCCACCCTTCAACTCTCTTCTCTCCTGGTGTTTCGAAGATGAGCAAAAGGACGTTCTTCCGTATAAAGGTCCTGAATTCTTGGGACTTTTGATAGGACTAGTGGTCCTTTTTTCTTCCAAGGCGCGCTTGGCCCAGCAAGGCAGAGACCTGGCAAACGGAAGACACCTGCATTTGCGAATGCAACCCCTCCTCAACCCGGGCAGCAAAATATACTAGCCAACCATTTCTTCACGATTTGTCTCCAAATGTCACTACTTCGTCACTACGTCAATGATCATCTTAGTTCCATTGCCGGGGGCTTTTGAGGTTTTTTAGATCCAGTTGTCGTGTATGTGACGTGATCTGGAAACCACCCCGGACGGTACTCTCCGTTCTGTCACACCGACTCGGTTCCATGTTATCAGCCTGAGAGCGGATGGTCTCACGGCATGACTGACCAGAAAGGTTGAGTCTGAGAAAACATATAGAAAGAGGAGAAACAAAAGAAGACAACAGCGTTAAACAAAACATCTGACTTTGATTCGACTTCTACAGAGTAAGAGTAATATTCTTACTACGAGAAGGCAAGAAGCTACTATTACTAACAAAGGGCATCGCCACTAGAAGCAAGGACGCTACTAGTAGCTCCTGGCCTTACTACTAGGAACAAGAAGCTACTAGTACTAAGGGCATCGCTACTAGTAACAAAGGGCATTACTACTAGTAGCATTCTTGCTACTAGTAGCGTCCTTGCTACTCGTAGCGATGCCCGGCTTCCTAGTAGCGATGCCAGGAGCTACTAGTAGCATTCTTGCTACTACGAACACCCGGGTTTCGCGCCTTGTCCTCTTCCACTTTCTCACCGACGACGACTTTCAAAGCGCCTCGGAGCAAAGGAGCGAGCCAACAGGAGCGAGTCAATTTCCTCACATAGGGCCACAAGACCTTTTCATGGTCTTTGGGTCCTTTTTTTGGGGTTCTTCAAATGAGTTAGCACGCAAACTTGAAGAGTTTCAGCCCGAGTTCACATGTCCAAAACCTGCGTGAAATTTGGGAAGAAAAAGGTAACTTATTTATCTACGCCATGCTGCTACATGCTGCTAGGCTTGCCTTAAAGATCACGTCAAGACTGTCTTAGACCCCTTCCTGCTGCCCAGATCGCATTTTCATTTTGGAATGTCGTGGAACTGAACAAAGTAACTACTAGTAACAAGAAGCTACTAGTAACTAGGGCATCGCTACTAGGAGCAAGGGCCTTACTACTAGGAACAAGAAGCTAGTAGAAACCGTATATACATTAGAATTGAATTAGAATATATCAAATTAGTAGTAAAGAAGGCTACTAGGACCCTTTCGCGCGCGCGCGCGGGGGGGTAGGAGCAAGGAACGTCGTGGAACGGGACAAAGACATTCTTCACGTTCTTCCCATTTCTTCCCGTTGGAGGCCAACGCTAGTAGGTTGGCGGCGATTCCTATTAGGTTGGCGGCGATTCCTATTGGGTTGGAGGCCATTGCTAGTAGGTTGGAGGCCAACGCTTCTAGGTTGGAGGCCATTGCTAGCAAAGTGGACTGCACCGCCAGCCTTGGAAGTCCACCGTCCCCCAGCCATTGGGTCTCAGCCTTGGCCGCGGTGCCGTGAGTCAACCGTGCTCGGTCGAAGCGCGAAGTGACCTTGGTCGAAGTCCATAAAGTCTTTGCCCCAAGAATGCTACTAATAATGGCAGGAGCCCCGAACGTAGCTTCTTGTTAGTAGCAAATTTGCTCCTAGTAGTAATGCCCTTTGTTACTAGTAGTGATGCCCTTTGCTGCTAGTAGCTTCTTGCTCCTAGTAGTACGGCCAGGAGCCCCTAGTAATGTTCTTGGTCCGAAAGACATGGGAATTGGAATGTCTCACGAGTATCGTACCTTCCTAACTCCCCTCTGCATGTGGTTCCTCCGTGTGTCTGGTGAATATCGCCTTGGACTGGGATTCTTCACGATGGACATAGTTAAGCTTCTTCCCTAAATATCTAGGAACCAAATGAATAGGCTACTAGCTACCTAGCTTCTACTAGCTACCTCTCTAGGTACTACCTACCTCTTCTAACGGCGTACACCCCCCTTATCTCCCCCGGGCAAAGCAAAAAAAACAGAGTTTCCCAATACCCAGGGCCTACGTCTTGGGTCTATCCGAGTCTATCCAGGGCCCAATGGATGATGGTTAGTATCTTGGCCTTGTTCAAAATAGGGTTCTTGTTTACTGACTGTTACAGGTAACTTTACAGGTAGGACTCGGACCCAACTCAAGTCCAACAAGTTCCGAGGACGTCCTAAGTGTGAAGCTACTAGGTTGGAGGCCGTCGCTATTGGGTTGGAGGCCAATACTGCTAGTAGCAAATAGCTACTAGTAGCTTCTTGTTCCGAGGACGTCCTAAGTGCGAAGCTCCAGCACTTGCCTCGCATTGGCCTACGCGAGTAAACGAGGAGGCGAAGACGAGGAGGTACGGACCAACGCCGGTCTCCAACCGCCGGTCGCGGAGAATTCTTGAAGCCATCAAGACAGGCCCAAGGACACCTGGTCAACTAATTCAGCTGGTCAACCAGATTTCTTAGCTGGTCAACTAATTCAGCTCAAACATGCACTAATTCAACCAAATCCCGCAAGAGATCGCAAGGGACAAAACACTGACACCTGGTCTGTCCAGGTGCTTTGACATGCTCAGCTTCCAAAGCAACTCTCCACCGTTCGTAGACGACATGGACACATCGGATCGAACCAGTGACTACGACGCCCCAAAAAGGAGGCACTGACTCACTGATCCCGAAACAGTCTTAACAGCTGGGTTTACTACCTGCAGAACTATTATTAGAGATGAGCTTTAATTCTAAATCTGAATTCTTGTAACTAGTAGCTTCTTGCTACTAGTAGTAAGGCCAGGAGCCCCTAGTAACGTCCTTGCTCCTAGTAGCGATGCCCTTTGCTCCCAGTAGTCTTATCACTTCTTATGCCATGAAAAAAAACCATTTACCGGACCGAGACCGGCGTATGGCTGACCGCCTGGTACCAGTCCGCCTCGGACTTCACGCTTGGCTGCTCGGTCGCTGTCTCCTGGATCGCTGATTGGCAAGCTTCTTGCTACTAGTAGAAACAAGTACCACGCTAGTAGCAACAAGTGCCTTACTAGTAGTAACAAGAAGCTATTAGAAACAATAAATAGAATCAGAATAGAATTAGTAACAATTTGCTACTAGTAGCGTCCTTGTTCCTAGTAGCGATGGTCTCAAACCTAATAGCGATGGCCTCCACCTAGAAGCCTCTTGCTACTAGTAG